TCAGTTACTTGGTGATCCTTCGGTCGTAATGCCTACATGGGGAATTAATGGATGAATAGGATAATGAGCACGTCACCGTAGACTATTCCGGCCGTGCAATATTTAGTACTAACATATTATCATTTATAGGAGAAGAGGGGATGGTGGTTGATATAAGGTGTAGGATAAAAGGAGGAAAGCTAATTATAAGAATTGGATTAATAATATAGGTAATTAATACATTAATTTTAGGGAACGTCTATTTCTACCATGGAAATTTGCATTTTTTTCATGACTTTCAGCCACATAAACACAACGAATATGGTCATGGTAAGTTACGGCTAATGGTGGAAATAGTTCATAGTGGAAAAGATGTTCTCTAATTTTATTATAAAAGATTTATTTTCATGGTGGAAAAAGCGTTCCCTAATTGTATTATAAAATATTTATTTTTATTTATCAATTGATTACAGGACCGGAGACCGTTAGAGCTTTGCATGTTTGGAGAAAAGAGGGATCGAGGTATTGTTGTTGGGAACAATTTTTCAACAGGCGCTATAGACGAAGCAAAAAAACCAGATATTTGTCCCTCTTTTTAACAACAAAAGACCGCCTTTCCTTAACATCTTTATTCTTGAGCCAGGTTTTGTTGATCATTGTGGCGCAGATCTCCCGAACTACAAATCATATTTCAAGGATCAGGTGTAACGTAACACGATCACGAAAGTTACATTAGTTTTGTCAAAAATTGCTTATTTCTCAAAAAACTGCATAAAATTACTTTTAACGCTCTAACAAAAGTTTTCCTTGAGCGATTTACAATATAACCATCTAGTCTCTAACCTTATTCTAAACGTTAATCCTAACATTAATAAACTTTAAAATTTTTGCTACGCCACAAGCCTGGCACAGAATTTTTTTATGCTATTGAATGTACTATGTATAAATTAAGGTTCAACTTTAAACAAAAAATTTTGAATTATGAACAAATCGGAAAGTGAATTCAAACTTGGTGCTGTGTATTTAGAAGGGGATGGAGTCGAGAAAGATGAGTACATGGCTTTTCACCATTTTCAAAAATCTGCAGAGATGGGGAACGTTAATGGAATATTTCAGGTCGGATATTGTTATCAAAAAGGAATTTGTGTTGAAAAGGATGAACATAAGGCATTCATTTATTATCAAAAATCTGCAGAAATGGGAGAAGCTAAAGGAACAAGTAATCTTGGATATTATTATCAAAACGGAATTGGAGTTGAAAAAGATGAACATAGGGTATTTATTTATTATCAAAAATCTGCAGAGATGGGAGATGCCATTGGAACGTTTAATGTTGGAAATTGTTATCTTAAGGCATTCATTTATTATCAAAAATCTGCAGAGATGGGGAATGCTGCTGGAACATATAATGTTGGAAATTGTTATTATGAAGGAATCGGAGTTGAAGAGGATGAACATAAGGCATTCATTTATTATCGAAAATCTGCAGAAATGGGTGACGATGAGGGAGCATGTGACGTTGAATCTTGTTACAAAAACGGAATTGGGGTTGAAAAGGATGAACAAAAGGCATTCATTTATTATCAAAAATCTGCTGAGATGGGGCATATCAGTGGAATATATAATGTTGGATATTTTTATAACGAAGAAATTGGAGTTGAAAAAGATGAAAAAAGGCATTCATTTATTATCAAAAATCTGCAGATATGGGGGATTTTAATGGAATATTAAATGTTGAATATTGTTATTCTCATGGAATTGGAGTTAAAAAGGACGAACATAAGGCATTCATTTATTACCAAAAATCATCAGAGATGGGAAATGCTAATGGAATGTTTAGCGTTGGATATTACTATTTTGATGGAATTGAGGTTGATAAAGATGAACTTAAGGCATTCACATATTATCAAAACGCTGAATATTTAATGTTGGATATTGTTATCGAAATGGGATTGGAGTTGAAAAGGATGAATATAAGGCATTCATTTACTATAAAAAATCATCAGAGATGGGGAACGCTAGTGGAACTTTAAATGTTGAAAATTTTTATAACTAAAGGAATTGGAGTTGAAAAGAATGAACATAATGCATTTATTTGGCTGATGTTGAAGATCATGTGACATTTTGGGCCGGAAATTGCAGATCGGAAAATTCAAAACAAACATTCGTTCTTTCATAAATCGCTTAGTAATAACCTTTAGTGTTCTAACAAAAAGCTTTCCTTGGGCAATTTTGCTAATATAGCTACTAACCTCTGACCATATTGTAATCATTAACCCCAACTTAAACGAAGATAAGTTCAATGACTACCCCAGTATCGTAATCAAAAACCACGTGACCAACGGAAAAATTCTTTAAGTTCGTTTGTGTTAGGGTTAGTGCCTAGTTTAGTATTAGAATTTAGAAGGTTATATGGGGGTGTTATCAATATAAACAGCCCATTTTTACATATATCTAAAGTATGGTGCCGTAAATAGCTAATTACTACAATTATATTTACTACATATATTTTTACAAAGGTTTTTTACAACCGTAATTGTAGTAATATTTACTACGTACGTACATGTAGTAATATTACTACATGTAATAATATTACTACATTTATTATATGTAGTAATATTTACTAAATGTAGTAAAATATTACTACATGTAGTAATATTTACTAAATGTAGTAAAATATTACTACATGTAGTAATATGTAGTAATTATTTACTATATGTAATATTGTCCGGAGCGTGGAGAACACTTTTTACGAGAGCATGATCACGTGATGAAATATTCCATCTGCTTCAATAATCCTGGTTGGTCAATTAATGCATAATAATTCTCACGATTTGGTCGTCACTATTACTTTATGATTATTATCATTATCGTTATGCTTAATAATTATATCGACTAGATACATTGAAGTGTTTCTTTATAGTTCCGGACACATAATGCTAAACATTTTCTAGTATTAATACATGTAGTAATAATTACTACATGTAATGATAGTTACTACATGTAATAATGATTACTACAGTAGTAATAATTACTGCCTGTGATAGTAATTACTACATGTAGTAGTAATTACTACCTGTAATAATAATTACTACATATAATAAAATATTACTACATATAATAATATTTACTATATGTAGTAAATAATTACTACATTACTACATATTATAATTTGAATTATGATGCTATACTTTAGATATAACTCTTATGAGAGAAATTTATAAAGGGCTGCAACTACCAATTAACAAAAAAGCACTGAAATTTTACATAAATTTGATAAAAAAAGTGTTAGAATAAAGATCTAGAGAATAGACTTTTGTTCGAATTATTATGTGAAACTATTAAAAATTGGCAAGACAATAAACAAATTCTTAAAGATTTAAATAATTATATACTAGTAGTATCATCAAATGAGTTAAAAGATTCTGATAGTAAATATACAGTCATTCTTCTATATATAATTACTCAATTTATCTAGCACTTTTTAGTGATTATATAGAGGTGTGATTAAATAGAATTAATGAAATTACCTCTATATAATCGCATAATATAGAATAATTAAAATATTGTAATTTTAAAGAGGTAATTAATATTAATTTTAAAAATATCTATTAAATAAAATAAAGCTATTTTTACTCAAACTTTAACAATAGATTTCTCAATAACTATTGATCCAAATTGGTTCAAATTTTTACCATATATACTGTAGAACTTTTTTTATTATAAATAAAAATCTTAGCTTATTTAATTTGGTATTTCTTAAATAATTACTTGTATATGATAGTTAATTTTTTAAAAAAATTGACTATTGTATGCAATCAATTACTTAAGAAATATCAGACCAAATCAGCTGAAATTTTTATATATAACAGAATAATATCTACAATATATATGATAAAAATTTGAGCTGATTTGAATCAATAGTTACTGAGATATCTTTGTCAAAGTTTGAGTAAAAATAATAAATTTTTTAATAATTGTCACAGATTAAAATGAAATCTGATTAAAATAAAACTGGAAACCTCTTATATCTACTCTTAGAGTCTATTTTTTTTTTTTTTTTGAATTTGCTGTATATATAATAAGATTAGTTACAGATTTGTATTAAGATGATATTAATTTTAAACTATCTATTATATCTTGTATAATCACCTAAGTGTAGCAAATCACCTCTTAATTTTCTATTTGTAAACTAATTTAAAACTAGCTACTATTAGTTATAGAAGTAAAAAGAAGAAGCTCAACCCCTAGAGTCTATAAAACCCATATATATTCATTTATTAATAAACTTAACTCTAAACCCTACCCCTAATACTAAAAAGAACCCGAAAAATGTTTATCAAAAAATTTTAAATTTTTCTTAAAAAACAGAAAAATTTTATTTTGATCAGATTTTATTTTAATCTGTAATATTTGTACATTAAATGCTAAAAATAGTAATTTTGGTGTAACCATGATAGAAATAGCAAAATATCATAGTAGAAATAGACATTTCCTATATTTATTATATATATATTTTTAGATTTAGTTTTATAGTAAAATTTTTGACATATAGTATTAATTTTAGTATAAGGCAAAAATAAATTGGTGACCCATCGCACTGATTGACAATCATATATAAACAATTAATACTCGCTTTTGTTTTTTTTTCGATTTTTGTTTTTTTCGCTTTTTCGCTTCGCTTAACTTCGAAATCAGGTACGTGCTTTTTAATTTTTTTTTTTGTTTTTTTTTTTTGTTCTTTTTATTGAAGCTAATATTACTTTCGTTATTTTATTTTGACTATTTTTTATTTTTTTCACCTTGCTTTTTTTTTATTAATTTCGCCTTCTTTTTTTCTTACCTTTAATTTTCTTTTCCTCTGCTTTTTCCCATTTATTTTCTTTCTTTCTTTCCACTGTATTTTCTTTTTCTTCTGCTTTTTTCTTCTTCATTTATTTCCCTGCTTCCTTCCTTTTTTTTCTTGCTTTTTTTCTTTCTTTTCACATTTTTTTCTACTTTTGTCCTTTTTTTTTTTGCTTTTATTCTTTTTTTTCTTCTTGTTTCTTTTTCTTTTCTTTTTTCTTACCTTTAATTTTCTTTTCCTCTTCTTTTTTTTCCCGCTTTATTTTCTTTCTCTTTCTCTCTCTGCTCTATTTTTTTTTTCTGCTTTCTTTTTCTTCTTTTTTCGCTTTTTTTTCGTTTTCCGTTCTTTTATTTCTTTTTTTTGTTTTCCTTTTCTTTCTTTTTCTTGCTTCCCTTTTTCTTTTCTTTTCTGTTTTTTCCTTATTTCTCTGCTTTAATTCTTTTCTTCTTTCCCGCTTCCTTCTTTTCCCACTTCTTTCTTTTCTTGCTTTTTTCTTTTCTTTTCTTTCTCTTCTTTTTTTTTCGTTTTCCGTCTTTTTCTTTTTTTTTTTTGTTTCCTTTTCTCTTTCCTTTTTTTCGCTTTCTCTTTTTTTTTTTTAGTTTTTTTCTTCTTCTTCTACTTTAATTCTTTTCATCTTTCCCGCTTCCTTTTTCTTTTTTTTCTTTCACTTCCTTTTTCTTCTACTTTCTATCCTTTCTTTTCTTGTTTCTCTTTCTTTTTCTATACGTTTTGCTGTAATTCGATTTTTGTTATTGTTAACCAGAGAATTGTCAGAAAAAGTTGTTGTTTATTG